CAGGGAGGCCGAGTCCGGACCAGGGGCCGGGATCTCGGCGCGGGTTGGGGTTGGGGTCCGGGTCCCCCGCGGCTTCAAGTTTCCTCTCTCACTGTTACGAGGGCGTGGGAGGCGCGGTCGTGGGGCGGGGTGGGCCGGGCTCGCGATGTGCTCACCCCGGTTCCTGGGGACCGTTGCCTTTGTGGCTACGATTTCTTGTGCAACCCCCGAAGCCTGCGTTTCCTGATGCCTGGGTCGGGGCGGGGGCATCGCGCAGGCCAGAATGGCCCCTGCGTCTGTAGGCCGGAGCCTCTGCCATCAGCCCCTTTAGGGTGTTCGCCAGCTGTCGGGTGTGGGGGCATGGCAGGCCCTGGAGGACCCAGTTTCCCCGCTCACCCGACCCGCCACACCCCAGCCAGGCCAGGTCAGAGCAGCCCACCATGGGACGGGGAGGGGGTGGAGGCTGCACCCCGCGCCCACCCATCCACCAGCAGCCACCAGAGCGCCGCGTGGTCACTGTTGTCTTCCTTGGCCTCCTGCTGGACCTCCTGGCCTTCACGCTGCTGCTGCCCCTGCTTCCCGGGCTGTTGGAGAGCCACGACCGTGCCCACGTGAGTCCTTGCCCTGCGGCCACAGTGCCCCCCGCCTCCCAGGCCCATTGGACCTCCCCAGCCCTTATCGTGCCTCCTCATCCCCTAGGACCCCCTTTATGGATCCTGGCAGGGTGGGGTGAACTGGTTTGCCACCGCCATCGGGATGCCAGTGGAGAAGAGATACAATAGTGTCCTGTTCGGAGGTATGGCTGGCTCTGTGCCCCTGGCGGGCTCTCTACGGTCCTATCTTTGGTGGACATGGTCCAGCCCAGGCCCCTCCCCAATTATTAGTCCTTCCCTTCCCTCTCTCTGGGCTGGCATCTATCTGGTGCCCTTGCCCACACGTCCTGGCTCCTGGGCATGATCCCTTGCCTCTGCGTGTCAGGTTCATCCCCTTTCTCATCTCTCCACTGGGGCCTCCTCAGCTCAAGGGCCATGGCCTGTGAGTGTAGGGCCCAGAATGACTGGACCCTCAGAACGGGGCTGGACATTGGCCTTGAGGGCCCTGAGACCACAGCCCCATGATGGTGACATCTGTCTCTCAGGTCTCATTGGCTCAGCCTTCTCTGTTCTGCAGTTTCTGTGTGCGCCACTCACTGGGGCCACCTCTGACTGCTTGGGGAGGCGCCCGGTGATGCTGCTGTGCCTGGTATGTCCCTGGGGCTGGGTGCCCATCGGGAAGCCTCCTCCCACCCAGCCAGTAGCCCCATGGGGTTAGGTGGGGAGAGGGAGGTGGCTGTGGGCCACTCATGGCCACTTGTTGGCCCTCATCGCATCCTGGAGGGGGTTCTCTGGGGGACCAGTGGCTCCTGTTGCAAAGCCAGGCTTTCGAGGAGGTGCTCCTGGCCCCTAGGAAGGCATTGAGAACACAGTGGCCCTCAGATGCTTCGAAATAGGGCAGGGTTGAGGGGTGTTGCCTGGGTTACCAAGTCCTACTCTGAGCCACTCCTGGCCTTAAGTGACCACCCCTGCCCCTTGGCCCCTGCCCCTGGGCAGATGGGTGTGGCCACCTCATATGCAGTCTGGGCCACCTCTCGGAGCTTTGCGGCCTTCCTGGCCTCCAGGCTGATTGGGGGCATCAGCAAAGGGAACGTCAGCCTCTCCACGGCCATCGTTGCTGACCTGGGCTCGCCTCTGGCCCGCAGCCAAGGCATGGTAAGTGCACAGGCTGGGCCTTTGGGGTCCGGGTGTGGACTTCTGGGCCTGGGTCTCCCTGTGCAGCTCAGGTGGCCTTTTCTCTAGGCGGTCATTGGGGTGGCCTTCTCACTGGGCTTCACCGTGGGCCCTATGCTTGGAGCCTCCCTGCCCCTGGAAATGGCACCCTGGTTTGCCCTGCTCTTCGCAGCCTCCGACCTGCTGTTCATCTTCTGCTTCCTGCCGGAGACGCTGCCCCTGGAGAAACGGGTAGGGCTGCGGTCTGGGACCCACAGGCCCAGGGGCTGGGGGCTTGGTTCCGTAGCGCTGTAAAATGCCCCTGTGTGCCAGCCCCAGGTGCCAGGGAGGCTGGGCCGCCCTCTTGGTGTTGGGGCTCTTGAGGCCACAGTCCGCAGGCTGCCAGGCCAGCAGCTGCTCCTGCAGGCTCTCCAATCCC